TACAACGTTAAAGGTGGATAACGCCAGCGAGAAGCATGGCAACACTAATGATAGATGCTATCGCTCGAGTGGATATTTGCCAGAATAAATCATTTATTTGATTTGGGGGTAAAGATTATTGTGAGATCCAAACTGCGTGGGTATTTGCATTTGTTTACCAGAATACTTTATACAATGCATTGCCATTTCAAAGCTGGTCAAGTACGTATAATTCGTTGTCCACACATGAAAACAAGATAAAATTGTGTTTGCCGATTGCATTTGATTTCATTAGATTTGATTACTTTCTAGAATGAGCGTGAGAGTGCAGCTGTGCACCATCAGTTGGTCTTTGTGGTGGACTTGCGCCGACTCTCTCGGACTGCAGTGGAGGTGGGTGCATTGAAAGAGGCCTCCCGCAGGATGAATGCCTCAAAGGCTCATCCCTAAAGAGTCAATGTCGGCCCCGGTTAGAGGAGGAACCGTCATTCCTCCCGTTTCCCAGTTCCACATGTGTTGCCAATCAAACGGCCCTCAGAACACCTCCTATTTTCAATCGGGCTCTTTGATGTGTCCTGAACGCATCCCTGTAGTGTGCGCGGGTGTGTGTGTGTGTGTGTGTGTGTGTGTGTGTGTGTATGAGTGAGGAACATGACTGGTCTCATTACCTTCAATGCAGCACACCAGGGAATGCCCCATAGTTGCCTACAAGCTTCTGTTTCTACAGTAACATGTCTAATCATACAAGCTAGAATCAGGAATCAGGAAACATTTATTGCCAAAATATGTCATACATACAAGGAATTTGACTTGGCGGTTGGTGCGTAACAGTAGACAGTATAACAATAGACAACAAGACAGCAGTGCACAAGTGATAAAATAAAAGGAAATGCTAACAAACACCACCAGCTTTTACAGTCCTACATTACACCAGCGGGAAGACGCTGTCCCACAAACAGTTCTGAGGCTTTAGGCTAGACAGAGTCTAATAAAACCGATTTAATGAAGTTGCATCATAACCACAAGTGCTTCATGTACTCTGTTACAGGTTGTCACGGCGACCACAAATCCCACTGGAGCGTAGATAAAACGTTTCAAGTAAAACATCAAGCCTTAGCTTTCCCACATGCTTGTTATCTTGATTGTTTCTCCTCGTGTGCGTCGCCTTCGGGGCCTGAGCCCAACCCAGGCAGCGCGTGGCGCTCCATGGGTGGCAGAATGGCAAAGGGCCTCAGGTGACATTGGGGCAGGAAGATCCCAAATCTCGAATGACCACATTTTGACCTAAGGGGACCTCATTTTATGGTTTGCACCGGGGTAAGTGATATATATCAGACGGTGACCTTCCAGACGATGATTACCCAACAGCAACACAAATCAATACATGTAATCTAAAGAATTATTATGTTAAAGAATCTGCTGCTGGGACAAATGTGATGAAGAGATTCTGTGGCCACATAATCTTACTTTACAACTGACTTGATTGCAGATCCATTACTACAGTAGCTCTTGTTTTATTCCAAAAACAAATCATTTGTAAGACCTGAATTTTTCTTTATACTTGATTGGAAAGAACTTCCAACTACGTTTAAAACCTATACTGTACCTAACCCTAAACCCACTTTCTCTTTAAACACTGATCATAAGGCTAGAATACCATATACTCATCCATGCTAAATGCTAAATACTCATCCATAAATAAAAATCCATCAAATCTATGTTAGTCTTAAGAGCTCAAGCTGATTTAGGCGGCTTCTTCCAACACACATTCCTGACGGTACCAAAGGTCAACCGGTTGGCCTATTGCCTAAAACCTTTCCCTCCAGTTTTTCTTCTCTAAACAAAGTGCTTGGGTTCCAGCTGAGATGAGAGGCCGTTCTGGTAAACACGATACGCTCTCTCTTTCTGTGTTCCTCACCTGGCCGTCTTTTCAGCGAGCCAGTTCATCTGTGACCCGCTCCGTTTCTCTCTCCCACACATACACAAAGCCCACTTCATGGTCTAGAGAGTGAAAGGCATTAGCCTTCCCTCCTGCCTGCTCCACCCTCACATTACCAGGACCAGCCTCTCACCTCTGATACGCGCTCTCACCAGATGTTGCCCAAAGCTGTAGGAATGAACCCCTGGGTTTGTGCGTATGTATTTGTCCGTGTGTGCGTTCATGTCAGCCTCCCACAATTGGCTCCTTTTTTTTTCTTGCATCTGCCAAGATTTATGACAGGGTTTTTTTCCTAATATGTCGGCTTCCTCTTTTCAAATCCCACTGGGGCAGTAGATTGCGGATGAGAGGGAGAAGCAGGTTCTTCAACCTGAAACAGGTGACTCACCAGGCTGAAGACAGGGTCAAAAATACATCTCCCAGATCCATCGCACTAACACTCGCGATTTTCTTTTTATCTAGTGGCGGTTCACACAAACCCCATCTGCTTTTAATATCAACACACTTACACTTGGCAACACAGGATCTACTGGTCTGGCTTGCAGGGGTCAAAAGGACAGAGTGGAGTAATGAAATCACACTGGACAAAGGACCAAGTCTGCTGTTGATCACTGTACAAAAAGGTTTTCATTATCAAGTACTGGGATGGCTGGAATGCAAAAAGGGGATATTAAAGACTCGGCAGAGCTCTTTCTTCGTGAGTAATGATCGGACAGAGGTGGTGGGGAGGGCTTTACTCTTCCCTTAGGCCTTGAAGTGTTAAGGGCTGATACATCCCACTAGGTTACATGCTGCGCTGTGTATCATTCTAGGATGAGCCCTATTGTCTTTGGATGTCTTTACGTCACCTATGTGGATACGTCAACTTGATTTGTGTCTGATGTCGGTTCTGTAACGATGACGTTCATGGACAGCAGAACATCCCTTTAAGATTTTTCCACAAATCAATACAGAAATATGGTGACAGACTGAACATTTTATCATCCATAATAGCTGACATTTCTCCATATCATATAATCCTAAATGCCATTTCTAAATCTTGGAAGGACCATATTGTCTGTGTTCGATTAAACCCTATCACTCCCAGTGGAGAACCAGGGTCCTGTCCACTGTTTAAGTGAGACTTGCACATGAACCAGTTGGTCCATATGGTCGGCATTAAACGTATCAATAGTCCTGGTCCTTTATAGCGAATGAGAGTGACCCCTGCTTGTGTGTTATGAGACCAAACCAATCAAGAGGAGAGCGATTGGGTTGTGTCACATTCTTATTATTTGGGGGAGAGGCTGTGTGATTTGGCTTGTTTACATTGCGTTCATAAATAAGCACATGAATTTACCATAGGAAGTCAGTAATATTAGTGTTATAAGACAGCTGTAAACCCAAAGCTCATGTCAGGTACCCCCATGTCTCTGATTTGTTGGATTACTACTACAAAAAAATAAACATATATATATACTGTATATGCAAACCTAAATTACACACAAATTTGATATATATATATATATATATATATATAATCCATCATAAATCTATTCACATCATTTTATCATTGGTCATGATTGATCAAAATATGCAATTAAAGACTTTGAAAGGCTGATGAGAGTAATAATGATACTTTTGGCCTGGAACCAGAGGGGTTAATTACACAATTAAAATGTTCTCATGAGTTCAATTCAAAGACCAGTATTGTATCAAATATGTTAACTAAAACAGGCACTGACAAGCTTTGTAAAGAACAGAAGGATATCATCTTAATGCCATAATCCTTTGTGATTCCCTAAATACACTATTGCACAGATAATCTTCTGGAGAAGGCAACCCCCCCGGTCTCGTGCACCCCCCCAGGGGGGGGTCTGTTGTACTCTGAGGCTGCTTTTAGCCTCTGCTTCAAAAATGGCATAGACAAATTTCTCTAGACATTTTTCTGTCAGGATAAAGGAGAACACCTGTGAGTGTGCTCTGATGAGTAAATATCAGTCTATATGTTATTGGTTGAAATTTGAAAAATGAATATGGCAAATACCGATTTTTAGAATCGCCTGAATAAAAATAATTTTCATGGTATCTATGAAAACATGGAGATCCTAGGCTAGTCATAGCCCGGTGTGTGGACAGTATTTGTTCTCGTTGAAATGTTTACATAGAGAGAAGTAAAACACAATCTAGTGAAGCACTCGACTGTAGAGGCACATTGGACCAAGTGCAGGATCAATTCTCTACATTTGCTCTATTAACACGCAATAAAAGGTATTATTAACGAAGGACCTTCACGGTGGTTCAGAAGTTGCTTGAGAGACGGTATGTTTGGACACCCCCTTCCTGAAGATATTATTAAGGGTAAAAACCTCCCTGTCCTGTCCATTCAGAGTCTGGGCAAATTTCCAGTCTGCTCTCTTCACCTACATTCTACCCATACCCCCAGAAGTGATATACACACAAATGGATGACTTTGTTCCAAATACATGTGCTTTTTAGTACATTTCCACTCCCACTTCCATTGACTTTTTCAAAGGCCTCTCCCTTCCTCAGGAAAAAGACATATCTGACAGGAGCTCTGTGATACAGGGCCAAATTCTAAAACCTTTCTCCCACCCTAGTTGAACATTTTAAATGTAACTATTGTATTTATCACCATAGGCGTCATCACAAGATGTTATTAGAAGTTCAGCCAGTTTGCGGCAAAACCTCCCGGCGAGCCATTCCATTGACCTGTCATGAATCAGGATGAAAGAAATGGAGAGAAAGGGAGGATGTGTTCTTATTTGACTTTTTCACTACCACCTCAACAAATGTTGGAGCCACATTGTGAGCAGTGCCATTGGAAATTGCACCTATTAAAGAGGTCAACTTGTTTCAGAAAAACAGATGAGAACTGTTTATAAATTCCTTTCTTGAGTTCCGCTTTTTAGCTTTTAAAGGTATGATAAAGGATCCGGCAGCCAGGCGACTAATAATATTAACACATTTTCTCAACTAAATCCAAAAGACCCAAGCCACATTCATAATTACCATGGGGAAAGCAATGTAAACAAACTCTGTTCCAATTCGAACTCTTAACACTGCAGTATGGAAACAGCGAGAAATTGAAAAAATCATTTATTTCCTTTATGCATCTTATTTCACTGGTGTGTCAAAAGCAGAGAGATCATTAGCAAAGGAATTTTTTACAAGACTTTGAATCCACCCTCAATTTATCGTATGTACAGATAATGGCAGATGCGGTTCTTAATGATACACTGTTGTAAGAAGGAAAATTGCACTGCTCTTACATACAGGTAATTTGTACCACCCATGGTACCATATTGTGACAATAAAATACAATGAGGAATGGTCATAAAAACACAATTGAACAAAAGCAATATATTTTCTCATTTCTCCCAGGATCAAAAAAAAGAAAAGAAAACCCCAAATAGTAGCTTTATGGGAAGACTCCATGTGTCACAGAGGTGCTGCACAAACAACTATTACACAAAGGAAATAATAAACATGCATTATGGGATATTATCTAATATACATACGATAAGAAACAAATGTGTTAGATATTGCAAGCACTTGAACCCCTCCTCAGCTCATGATGGGGACTAAAACATGGAAACATCTGTTAAAACAATTTCTGTGTCAGAGTTGGACCCCGCCTTAAGCACAAATACACAACCCAGTCAGATTCTGATCAATAAACAAACATTTGAAAGCGACAGATGAGGGAGACACATTAAGAGAAGAAGAAGAGACAGCCAAAGTTAGTACAGCCTCGTTGGTAATCTCATGTTTGTACTGCAGACTCAGAGGAATAGTTTTGATTACTTCATTGACTGAATCATCTACAAGGTCAGGCATCCCATCTTCTCTGCCTCCTACTCCTCTGCTTTTCTCCCACTCATCCGCCAAGTGGTTCATATGGCTGCCAAGACATATTCATAGACATATTGGAGCATCCGGTTACTGGCAGCGATTACAGACACTTAAACACATGTCCACCTACACACAGACACACAGGAACATTTCTAGACGAATAAACATACTGTACCGTATTTCACACTCCCTTTTATGTGCGGGAACATGTTCTTTTATGTACTTGTGAGGCCCAAAGCCCCCTGAACGGCGATAATTCTACAGATCCTACTCTTAACCTACTAACCACTGTATGCGGGATAGAAAAGGAACTTTATCTGAACCTGGATTCAGGTCATAGTTGTGCCCCCAGGCCTCTGGAAATAGTGGCGGGTAAAAGATTATTGCATGCAGCACTGCAGTCCCATATTGAATGATAATATCATCCCCTAACATACTGTACATACACATATATGTACACTCTCACACACAAACAGTGAAAATGCTCCAGTGATTGTTGACTGAACGACAAACAGACTTTCCAGCAGGTTCCTACCAAAGGAAATGATTCAGAAAGGAAAAGAAAATCAGCCCCATGGTATGGGCCCGGTGGATAGGTGGTCCTAACTGAGATGATGTGGTTTCCTATGAAACCACACTGATGAAATATTCAGAGAACAACTCAGACACCTCGAGGCCAGCGGGCTTCGGTTACAGCCAAATCATTCTTGGCGAGGACGGGGCCAGAGGAACGCCGGCAAGGTCGCCGCTGCTTCTTTTATCACCACACACGACAACAGACACACACAAAGGCGCCCGTTCATTTTTAATGAGGTCCACTCATTAATAACCCAGACCTGACCCCATTTACACTGCTGGATTCCCGGTGTGGGCGGGACAGAGCAGGGATGAAGGAGATCTCAAGCTGTTTTCCTCCTTCGCCATCGCCGTGTGGTGAGGGTGACAGTGTGAAATGAATAAATCAGCAACAGAAGAGAGAATTCAGGATTATCATCTGGAATACCAGCGGTGGGGTGGAGGGGTGTGTGTGGGGGGGAGGGAGGATACAAGCTGAGGGTTAGGATCTGAAACCAAAGGGGTCATCGAGAGAGAGGAGGGGGGAGTCATGCCCAAAACGCAAAAAAACTAAAAAACAAGCCTCATCCACATTAGCGCTGTACCGACTGATCCCTGCCGGTGTGTTTGACGACTGGCCCCTGTCAATGTATCACATGGACGGCTGAAAGCTAAGGGAATAAAAAGCAAAGGGGGTTGATGCTGACTAAGAGCCATCAACGGACCAGAAGGCACTTTTACACGAAGCTTATCACAATTTAGAACATCTCAAAATCATTTATTTTTTAATAAAAAGCATCATGGTTTATATAAAAAAAATATCTTTTTTTTGTTTTACATATTAACATATTCTGTCCATAAAAATCTTTGAATCTCAGCATCTCATAATGACTTATATCCCTCTTTGTATTCCCCTGTTAATGGTCTATAGAATCGGTCCAAATCTCACAAAAGTCTCGTCCTGGTATCAGGAGTAAAAAAGCCTCCGTTTCTCTGATCCGTGGAGCCGGCTGAGCTTGGCGAGCTGAGAGGGCGATGGGGGCACGTCCTGTCTGTATGGGCCCTTGGACTGAGGTGCGGCCTTTAACGGGGCATAACTTGGGGCCTGAGCGTGGTTCCCGGCATATTCGGACGTAGGCCCCCCGCTGGGGGCTTCCTGCCCAGGAGACGGCCTGGTCTTGTTGGCCTCGTGCTCTCGGCGTTTCTGGTCCTGCCTCAGCAGCTCCTGGGTCTCCAAGAGGACGCGCGCGTTGTAGCTGGACGTCGCCAGGTAGCCGTTGCGTGATCCATGGCTGACAGAGTAGCGGGGGTTCTCACTGGATATCTGGAATCCCTCCGCTGGCATATATCCCTTGTCCCACGAGTCCTGGGATGTTATGCTGGGATTCTTTCGAGGTTGCCTAAACACACACACACAGAGAGGGTTAAAGTGGTCAATCGCTCTGTTGAGTGACTCACCTTAAAAAGGGCCTGAACCTAAAAAAGGGACCAAAGAAGGGGAGCCACCGCTTAGAAAAGATTGCTTTTTTTCCCTCAGTGGCCCTTGGGTCAGCGCCATTCAAGAGGAATTCAAAAGAAAGTGCTCTTCAGCAGAGAATGTAGGCATTTTCAAATTTTGTTGGATTAAAAGGGGGATACGGTCGCTGCGTTGAGTTAACATACTGAAGGCAACCCGAGTGAAGCGAAGGAAGACGTGTTATAGTCTGCTGCATGATTACACTGAATCCTGGGACACAAGGACATAAAAAGGACAAGAAACAAATGGGGAAGGCATAAAGAAGCCCACAGGCCTATTAGTTCCACATAGTAAACAAACACAAATGTTAAAACCTCCCTGTGAAAAATGGCTTCATCCATTTAACTACTATTTGGAGACTGGTGCATTCACAGCACAGACAGAGTAATGGCAGGCCAGGCGTTATTCGCCTTTTACTTATCCTCCATCTGCCTGTCAGAGCCCTGCACTGAAAGGGTGAGCTGGAGATGCCCTTGTATTATTATCTTTCATCCCAAAAATTAAACAACGCCCAAGCATGCCTTCCGCTGTACATGTTCCCCTTTCCTGAAATTGGCCCTGAAACGCTGTCCTTGGGAACTGCCAATTCTTTGGCCAAACTGTTGGGGCTGCTCCTCCATTATTAGGATCCATTAAGGCCCGCCATGCCATGGTGGACCTGTGACAGTGTGTTTTGCGTCAGGGGTGCCTAGAGAAATCCCATTCACACCTCACTGAGCCGCTGAGCGCTTAAAAGGATTTTGAGTTCACAGCACACAAGCCTGAAGAGGGAGACGAGGACTTTCAAGACCTGCATGTCTCATTTGGACACGTCTCAATGCAGACTGTCTCATGACAGGAGGACTTATTGTTCAAAACGTATTAGTTAAAAAAAAGACTCACAATGACGACGATCAATTCTTCCTTGCACTTTAATGTCTTATCTTATAGATACATAATGCTTGAAAGAATCTGCAAAGAGACTGTTGACAGTAAAGTTGAAAAAAGACTCATTTTGTTTGTAGGTGTTTTACAGGTGGAGTTTGATGATGTCAACAGCCCTGTTATCAGGGTATGAATTATATAAATACAAACCTTTCTGTCAAAATGGTAAAAAAGGTGTATTTAAGTACTACTGAAGTGTAGATTTCTGGCTCAGAGGGAGAAAAAGATAATTGAGAAAACAAATGAATGTGTTCAAAATGCACATATTTTGAAGGTAAAAAATAATTGGACATCTCTATAAAACTTCCTTCGTTGATTACTTAGGATAAGAACATTTTTCAGAATTGTTCGGTTTGTATAAACACGGCTTAATATAATCATTGGCACTATAGTATTATCATTTGTTTCATTCAAGAGACATCTACAGATGAAGAGACAAAGTAGTATAATAAACACCTAAATGTGTGTTTTGGATGTTTTCTTCCCACCAGTCTAAAAAGAACATTTCTGTCATCACATGTAAACACCCAGCGAGAGACAAACAATGCTTTATCCAAGGTTGTCTCCCCATGACGATTGTGCGATTCTAGTAGATTTAAGGTAAAAAACGGAATTACTGTATTTTCTGCACAATTTTGCATCTCGTAACTGTCCCATAGCTCTGCCATCACTAATGAATCCCACGTAGTCCACACATTCTAAGCGCTGTGATGCCAGTATCTAAGCCTTTGGAGCCTCCGTCTACATCCACGCATGCCAGGACAAATGTGCACACATGTATGTGCTGTACATGTGCAGCACATACACATCTCTGAGTCTGCGGAGCACGTGTGAGTACGTGCCTAATTGGCAGAGGGGCAGATGTAGGGACAGACTGCAGAGCGAGCCCCACCACATGCTCCGTATCTGGGTTGTGGTGTCTGGGCGAGCCGCCATGCATTCACACGACGGCTTGGCTTGCCGAGCGGCCAGTGCCGCTCGCGAGGGAGAGACCTGGGAACGCCCGGTGCGAAAGGGCTGCGATATGCGTTTTGAGCATGACCGCTGAGGTTTATGAATACAAAAAAGCGAAGATAGGAGATTTAAGGGGGAAGCCTTCAGGGGCGATGCAGGGAGAGGAGAAATGGCTGTGTTCCACAGGAATGCAATCGTGATCGATGCGTCGGGGGAGTCGGCTTTCTTATCACCTCTACTCCTGTGCCAGAGCATGTCACAAAGTAGATTAGTTACATCTACAGAGGGGAGGGGATGGGAAAATACATCATACCAGAGAGCGAGTAAATTTAGAATGACAGAACATAACAAACAAATCCAGGAAGTTGGCTTGCAGAGACATTTGTGGCCGCTGTGTTGTTTCTTTAAAACAGCTGGGAAAAATCAGAGTTTATGAGGAGGAGGAGGAGGAGAGAGCACACATGCACGGACACAAAATGATTAGGGGAGAAAACACAGAACGGCATGCAACGCGTAGTGGAACAATCGCTGCTAAGAGATTCAATTGTCTACAAACCTGGAATAATGTTTTCTTTACGTTATGCGGATTGATGTTGTTTAGGCTGCGGGCTGCGAGAGGAGATGGAGGAGCTCATGGCAGGCCACATTTAACAACCTTATCTTTGCCGCATACATGTGTGTCTTTTTGTGTGTCTTTTTGTGCGTCCCTTTCAGACTAATCAGTGGTCTCTCCTTCCTACTAACACACTCTCCCGGCCCCTCTCGCTCCTCCACTGCCTGTCACCACTAATCCTGCTCTAACAACAAGCCTTCATTAGTGCTCTTCCAATCCTCAGATCCCAGACAGCCGGCTAAGCCTGGTCGTCATCAGATAACCAGCTACCATGGCTTTTTCTAGGAGCACTTTTTTTTTCTTCTTTGGGAGGGAATGTCCACTTTTTTCGTCTGACTGCTCTAGACGCCTATTTTGGAAAAGAAACACAGGCTGAAGAGGTTTCCAAAAGAGAGATGGATGGAGTCAGAGGGAATCGTGGCTATTAATCTGGGGATGTAAGACTTCGGCTCTTTAATGAAGGGGTCAAACGTCAAGCCTGAGCTCATGCGACTCTCTGCTAAAAGACGCTATGAGATTATGAGAGGAATGCATATCAAAGGCCATCCGCTGAGCGCATGTGGACGGCCAGACCAACTTTCCCAAGAGAAGGAACTCAGCGAGAGAGGGGAGGGCCGGAGGGAACTGTCACATCACATGAGATGCCAGCAGATAACACCTATGGAGGGCAGCACGGATCGGTCCGGCTTCTACAGACCGCATTGATTATGCGTCCATGTGGACCACAAATCCATAGCCATAGACAGGAACATGTTTTTAATCGACGCGGTCACCACTGTTCAGAGACAGCGGAGCGATGGAGGAAGGCTATGAAGAAAATGATTGCTGTTTGTGCAAGGGGGATTCAAATCACAGGAGAGCCAATTCACTCTGGCCAAGAAAATGAAAAGACCACACACACACACTTTAATTGTTCGGTCTTTGTTTGAAATGGCAGCAAAACTTCACTTCACTCAGACTCAGACTTTTGTACTTTTTCTATGTGGAAATTTGACACGATAAGGTGTTTAATTTATTACTGACTTTAACTGTCAGTCAGTCAAAAAGAGAATGTGTGTCTTCAGTGACTTTCTACTTAATGATGTAAGGCTTAAAAAATGGTTGGCTTTGCAATTTGCATCAGCAGTGCAATTCAAGAGCTTCAGAGAATAACAGAGGTGAGTTAGGGAATACAAATACCCATAGTAAACGCTCTACCTCCCCCTACGTCTCGAGATGTAAGATAGTGTAAGCTTTATTGGCATCCCTTTGAAAAATATGCAAGAGAATCGAAACAGGAAGATGGAGAAGATGAAGAGCAGTGGCTATAGCTCTGGACCCAAGCTGGTGAAAGATTGCCAAGAGAAAACTTCTTTTAAAAGCATGATGGAGCTGCCATTCATTACAGTGGAAGAGTCAGAGAGGGTGGTGCCTGTGACAAAGTCACCACTTCCTCAGGGTCAACATTGACTTAATGGAAGTATCAGCATCAGTCAAACAATTTCAAGCGATCACATTAAATGATTCCAGTCAAAGAGTTTTGCTCAGAATCATTTAAATGTCTGAAGATGAGGGGGCTGAAAGGGGGGCTTCTGTGGTGATTGACTTTGTAACCAAACAGATACGTTAAAGAAAGTGTAGAGGGAGAAGGGTAAAGGGAAGTGATGGAAATCGAAAAGAGACAAACCAGGATCTTGAGAAATGGCAGGGAGAATGTGAGGTGGACAAAACAAAGAAGGGTGACGAGGTCTCACCGTGGCAGGGAGTTGTACTGTCTCTGTGCTTGTTGTAAACCATCTGTGTCCTCTTGCTGCTGCTTTTGGGCCTGAGTCTCAACTGACACCGAATGGCGTCCGCTTGGCAACTCCATCCCATTGCTCACCTGTAACATCCATCGAATGATACAAGTCAAGATATGCACAGTAAATACACAGAAAACGAATAAAAATGAAACAAACATTCTAACGCACAAAGATTTGATAAGAGAAAAAACACACAAACACACACTTAGATAATGGAATATATTTCCCTCAGCGCATCAGATGATTTGTCAGTGTGAAGCCTCATGTGTGTTGAGCTATAGCCCGGGGAACAGGTAGTTAGAAGGTGTGATTCCATTGTGATAATGCACATGTGCTAGTGGATAAAACGTCCCAAAATCTAAAATAAAATAGTGTAAAATAACTAACTGTATTGGGTTGGTCTCTAAGGACTAAAAATTGACATTTAACAATGGGGTATCTCTTTGAACTGTACCGGTGCATAACGTGTTCCAACATATCTCCCGGTGTCTGAGTAAAGCTAAATGGAATCTCACTTTTATCTGCAGAAATCTGCAGAAAATGATCTGCCTTCCGGATGCTAATTATATTGAAAAGGTTATTAGGTGACGACTTTCATGACGCTCATCCGGTTAAAATGAAAGTGTTATCTTTCGGTGTTATACTATGATTGATAGCAGATTTTGCCAAAAGTATATGAAGAACAACATGGGTACCAAGGCCGATCTTTGGTGTCTTCGAAGCGGAGTAAAGCTAAGTGGAATCTCACTTTTATCTGTAGTGGTCCCCAACCTTTTTTACCTCACGGACCGTTTTCATGTCAGACAATATTTTCGTGGACCAGTCAAGAAGGTCCGGTGGAATAACAGGGGGGGTTATTTCAAAATAAATTATTTTTCAGAAAAAAAAATCTATTCTTTCTGTGGTGCAGCCCGGTACCAAATGGCCCACGGACCGGTACTTGTTCGCGGCCCGGTGTTTGGGGACCACTGCACTAATGGATTTAGCTGGTTGAAAGTTGAAATGATTTATTATCACCTGTCAAACAGCTGCAATTGCTGGAGCTCTTGAAAAAAAGTTCAAGATGGAGAGAGTTTTTGCATTCAAAGTAAAAAGAACGAGACGCGACATACAGTGAAGAACTGTGCAGAGGAATTTCTACACGTGTAGAACAGAAGGGGGATGAGCACGGACCACTTTACGAACTGCTAGGCTACTTCCATCTCAGCATCTACCCTGCGCGGTACACAGTCTGCAGAGGACCAGTACTGTGTGCCTGAAAGACGGTGGTTTGAAAACGTCCTGGCTAAATGTGGGGAGATTGTTGGCACTTCAAACACAGCCGTCAAGTGATGGAGAGTTGAGAGCAAAGTGAACGAGGACAGCAGGAAGAGTCGCTAGTTCAACATGTTTCACCTGGTGGTATTCTGCCTTGGAGATGATCAAATATGTCAAATTTGTTTAAAATAATTAAATAATTTAAAATACATATTTTCTAATGTAATTAATTGTTAATATAAAAATAAAGTTAATTACGAACAAATCTAGATTGATGAATTTCAAAATGTGACCTTCATTTTCCTTATTCATATTCCTTATTTTTTACACACATTTCACATTTAATCAATAAAGCGATGACTTTGGATCTACGTATGCGGTGCGTGGCTGGAATTACAATACATGTCTCAGAATTAATCTGCTGACTGGTCAAATTCCCTTTGGGGTTTACAATCCACTGCCCACGTTAACTACTTGTCCACTCTCTGTTTGTCTAAATCAGAGTACTTTTTAAAATGATATTCTGCTCATGGTATGTTGTGCTGAAGACATAAAATACAGATGATTATCAACACCCCCTTCATTTCACAGATTTTTATGTGACTACTACACACCACTGTGTTAGCGTTTGTTGATCATCAGTGGGGTTGACATGGGGATATCATCTCCCTCTACAATAGTACACGACTAACGAGCTGGCTGATGAAAGAACATGACAAGCCAATTAAACAGAGGCGAGCTGAGGAGGCATCAGTTTTCATAAGGCTTGGAAGGTAATGTGGCGGGCAGGTGTGGATGGTTTGACGGCATAAAGTTGATATTAAACTATTTCAAACATGAAATATTTTGTCATTTTAAAAGCTGAACAGAGCAGCCAAATAATCAGTTAGCTTGGAGAGACGTTTTATGATACGTGAGACGTCTGCGTAAAGGAAAGGCAACAGTACAGGACAGGATTGCGGTGATGCGGTAAAGGTGTGTTGGCCAACAAGCTCTCTCTTATATTGGTGAAGTTCCTGCTTTCCTCCTCCTCCTCACTTGGACAGCTGAAATAACAGCGCAATTACATTTCACTCAGCGCCAATAACAAGTCCATTCTCAAGCACCCCAAGTCCTCCAAAATAATAGTATTCCACGTGGGTGAAAGTGAATTGGAGTCATATGTTTCAGGTTTCGCTGCAACAACACGTTCCCCGCAACTCTGAAAGTATTGAGAGCCGAAACGAATATCAGATGAACAGAAAGGGGAAAGGATCAAATATGTTATTGGGGCCAAATGTGTGTGGTGAGAAAATAATTAGTCACACGCACTTAAAGTTTTTAATGCAGGAAGTGGTGAAGAATCCAGAGGTGCTAGAAACTGAAAGGTTTTGGTGGGTGACGCCATGTCAAGAGAAATGCATGAGAAATAGTCAGGAAAGAAAATCTGTCAGCGTAATGGCATTATCCAGGGCAGGAGAATCAGATTATTCCATGTTAGGCCCGGAATACAATGCCATACAAAACATGACATTTGTTCAAATCGAATCAAAGAGACGTCCGTGTTCGTTTTTATCCAATAATGTAAAAAATGATGTCTGTAAGGCACGCTTTTATCCCCCCCCTGCTTCCTTGGTGGTGTCGCAGCCAAGGCAGAGAAAAGAAGAAGAAGGGATCACCTGTTTAAACATAAGAGCGTTCACAGACAGTGTGTAGTAAGGGGGGTGTAGGAAATTATAAGAATTATTTGCAGCAAGAAAAATCCGGGACTAGGAAAGCAGCTGGGAAGCGTTGACTTTTAAAAGTTCCAAGGTGTGATATTTCCTTGGTTCAGAACTAGTCACAGACCTTTCAGATATCAAAGCAGGCTGCTATGATGGGTCAGCACTCACATATGGCTTTACCGGCCAAACTCCTCATAATGTTTTGTGTTTGTAGCCGAGCACATAGGGAACAGCTTTAAGAGAGCAGCCGTGCTGTACACAAACACACATATGGGAGACATTAAAGTTGTTAATGGGTAGACAGAACAAGACAGAAGTGAGAGAATGGTAGCAAAACACCACATCCTGGAAAAAAGGGCAGTTGGATAATGAGTCTCTCTTTAAGTCTACGACCCAATTCCGCCAATTTATTATGAGAGGGCCCAGTCCATTTGTGGTCCCTGGGAGTGTGGCTCCGGGCGTAGTATTCGTCTGAGAGCAAGCAGTGTGGTCGGCCATTCTCCCGGTCCTCTAGACCAGGAAATCGTGGTGAATGGGAGGTCGGGCTGGTTATCTCTCTATCGCTACCCCACAGCATGTACGAATGGAAGAACAAAATGTCTTATCTCTTTATCGTAAAGTTCTCTGTGTGGATGAATGTGTTGGGGAATAGTGTCGTAATGTATTATGATGTTGACATAAAATAAATGCAATCGCTTTGTTCTCCTCTCCGCCCCTTGCTCCTTATCTAATCTGCAACACCTACACACAGGTCTGGTATTAAAGCATTTAGTGTGCAGGAATGCATACATCTCTGCACACACACGCTTCTCACTGTGGATATGTTTTAAAAAATGCAACACTTATACTCACAATAAAAATCAAATAAATGTCCTACTTCAAACTTAATCATTTTGTGTGCGTTATGTGTTTCTAAAATATGTTGACAGGGAGCCCTTTTGCTTATTGCTCAGTTTTAATTATAAACCCTCCTCGCTACTCGCACAACATTAAAGAGCAATATACATAATGTATTATCCATGCAGCATGGACAGCTATTGTTGCCAAGCAAACAGGAAAGAAGCCCAACAAAAGATCAACCAGGATCTCCGTAATCAACAAAATCTAGCTTCTGTGAAAATGTCAGTTTGTTTTAGGTGGATGAGATAGTAGCAAAAGGACATTGACATAGTCTCAGTGCTATGATAAAAACCTCCCAGATACAATCGAGGAAGACATCCCTGCACCTTTCATTTAGTTTTACAATATGATATGTTCCTCTTTTGTGAGATGTGACTGGTTAAACTATGTAGATGTAGCTAGCAGAGTACTTGCAAGTACATGTAATTATGGGCAAAATTGTTTTGTTAAAATATACACAAGTAGCCCAGCTCAGATACAACACACATCCCACGCCATGTATTGTGTTGGTTTGGGTTAACACTAACCCAATGAACGCCATTATATGACTGGTTAGAGCAACGGGCTTCACTCATGGAACAGAACTTTGTTGGCCTTGCCCTAGAATGTCAAGTGAATAAAAGCGGCACAATCTTCACTTGATCACATAGGAAGGAGTGAGCTGCTCTCCATAGAGCTCCACATTCACAGGAACCCAGGATTGCATAAACACAACAGAATACCCATGTAGCGTCAGATCGAGCGATAGTAAAATCAAAGGAATTCACACACATGCTGCCACTATTCCATGGTGCTCACACTCTTCTGTGTGGTGATGTCCATTGGTGCTCTAACCCAACAGCATAAATTGATTATATCGCCGCAGAGGGAAAAATAAGGCGAGCATTTGGAAAATACATAGCGCTTTATGTTGAACATCTGGAAATCCCCTCTTGCAGAGAGAAAACACGCCAGCTCTAACTGTGTATGTGAGCTTAGAGTTTGAGAGGGGAGGGGGGCTCTATGATAGACAGGGCTTGGTCATTATTCTATTAAGGAGGTGCCGAGGGTTCGAGGACTGAGATTGGCGTTATCATTACAGATGTTTACAGCTGACGTACCTGAGGTCAGTCTACAACACCCCGGAGCCGAGCCAGGGGTCAAACGCCCCCAGAGGGAGCCCTGCAGCTCACACTGCTGTCCCTGTTCCTCATGTCATGGGCACTGGATTCTACATTCACTGTAGGAGCTATTGAGCAACAAATAACTAACTTCTTCATGAAAATGACTTTAAGCAAGAACAACAATAACTGACAATTATTAGCATCCTGAATGGTAATCCAAACTACACCATCCAATAGGCCTTTCTGTGCAGCCAGAATTAAAAAGGAATTTTTGTTCTCTCATTGTTTGTATCAGTTGAGAGACATGCAACTCACAAAAAAGAAAGGAAGCATGGTTTTGTCCAGTGACAATTTCAATAAAATCATCCAAACACGAACGCATCCTAACCAATGTGGACGCAAAGGCAGAGAGGCAGTGCTGCTTTGTTCAGTTGTACTTGGGGAATGGAACGTAAGAAGAAAACTAGGACATCATAGAGCAGCAGATGTCTGTTGGGGCGGAGAGGTTCAGTTTAATATCACAGCAATCTCAAGACTACAGTTTTGGAAACAACATTTGATCTTATCTTTCATAACATTAAAACAAACACACAACTGTTGATAACAGATCTTTTGTCATCAGCAGTGAAGTGAAACTGGACCGTGGAACAAATGGCTAAACAGCCGAACAGAATTTAAGTAATTGGACATACAGTACAGTATATCTGTATGAAAGGGAACTGATGTAAAATGGTGGATAAACCAATTTCACTTCCAGTAATTGGCAAGACATGTTAACAAATAGCTGTTAACACAGCTATTACCTCTAAATTCTTCACAATTATAATCTAGTATTATTTTGTTATTTCAAAGCTTTTACTTCAGAGGGGCACAATAAAGAACTGAAGACTTTTCCTAAACAGTGACTTAATAAAACTCAGTTAGGTGGGTTTTCCTCCTCTCTTCCATTTGCTCTCCTTGGACAAATAAGTTCAAAGAGAGAGGAAGATGATGAACCTATTCATCATAGTTTGTCCGGAGTGTTCCCACATAAAGTCCACAGGTCGCTGGGATCGGAAGTCAGAGCGAGCTACCCTATTTAGCATGTGGTCTCACTGCTGGGATCCCTATGTGGGAAAGATCAAATATAGCATTTGACACTGACAGCACAGACTAGCCTGCTAACGAGTCTTAATAATCAAATTTTGCTAAGATTAACAAAAAAGCTCACATCTGTGTAAAGTTAGTAGTTATAATGCAGCTTTCAATTATCACAGTATTGAAATAAGAAAATGGAATTTAATGGAAACTGCAGAGACAGTTGATGAAGGTTGTGCAATGTTACCGAAAAACTCCAGTTTCCAGTCTCCACTCAAAAAGTGCAAAATAGTTTAGTACAGCTGTGTCGGATCAGACAGCACTTCAAGCTATTTTATATCGTATATTATTTTTTAATGAAAGAACACCTAAATAAATATAAAATTTCCAATCTACATTTCTATGACATCTGGGAAAACTCCATCTGTTTGATGAAGATCCTGTAATTTGATCCACAAAAGTTGAGCTAAGATTGCTTAGTCAACACTGCTGTCACCACAATATTGGTTTCAGCAAATCTGTGCTGGTGCTGTCTGTTTTTATGAGTGATATAGTGTAAATATTACAACTGAGCCATGCCTGAGATGACGTTCCTGTTCTGGCTTGTGGATCTACGTGGAAGTAATCATGATGTAACCTTGAGTACTCAAGAGACGGCGTGCACCAAAGTGCAGTTTTGGTGCACTTTGATGTCGAAGGCATTTAACTGCCTTCCGAAGCATCTCGCCTTTTCGTGGTTACAATCACTAAATGTTTTCAGTGGGGGTCACAGAGGTTTCACTTTCATCACTGCACACAACATTCAGCAGAGTCAGAGCAAAATCGCATACTGTGAAAACCAAACACATCAATATCTGTACAAATAAAAGCTGTGGAAGGTTTATTTAAGTCAAAACCCTCTCTAAAAATGCTAATGCACTTCACATATAACTTAGACTTCAAGTTAACTTTCTTAAAGTTATACAGTTTTCCGCTCATAATCAGTCAAAAAATATGCCATGGAAACTGCAGGGGAATGATAAAAGTAAATGTTTTACCTCTTACTCCTGCCTCTGTCTGTACATCTGTGAAGGCTTTATCTTGGTCAAAACGTGTCACGAAACGTATTTCCCCTGATTATCATGTCAAAATGTTTGCTCCGTTTTTTAGGAACCGAGCCATATTCATCTTACTTTTGGATGAGGCTAAGGCAGGATTTCCCTGGAGTTTCTCGAATCAATGTTGACACATCTTCCTAACAAGCTCTATCATTGTGAATCCTTGCTCACAGGACTAAAATAACATGAAAGACGACTAATAAAACAGACTTCAATACTCCGGGGATGGCTCTATATCTTATTACCAGTGGAGTTGTGGGGGTACGCTCAACAATGTCAACAATCACAGGCAATTAGGAGCTCAGAGACAGACTGAGACTGCTCAGTGCTGAACAAACAGTTATTCTCTCTCTTTGTAAGCAAGAATGGAAAAGGGGGAGAGATTAGGACTGCAGTGCCGAGAGATGTCTGGTTCTAGTGATTTCCAACCATCGGGAGAACTAACACTGAGAGAAATCCAGAGCAAATGAAGTTTTCCCCCCTCTGTATTAAGACGTGGTGTCGGGTAATGGGAAAAACAGCAGAAGACCCCAGCCACATTCCAGACCAATTTAATTGACAAACTGACATTGATAATTGGATGTCAAATAGTTTAACTTTCAAGGTCTGACACTGTGACCCATAATTTAGAAAATAACGTATGCTTAGTGTAATATTTAGCCTCTTTCCTCTAAAACTAGGCCAGAAAAAGTTACGTCTGTCTCACACCATTAAACCGCAAGCAAATACACAGATATTTGACCTCTGAATAGTTTCTGATCCAGAATATAAGTTTGGCTCTATCATTCTTTGGTCACAGTTCAAATAAGGACGACGGCTGACTTTAAATACAGTGTCAGCCAATGAGTTGACTCTCAAATACTGGGTTGGGACCCAAAAGAGATTTTCACAGGGTAGCCAAATAATTTGCAGAATTTCACTGTTAAAACCGTTTGAAGTTAAACGAGCGTACCAGATGTTGAGATCATCACTGATATAAACGGGGTATGAGGAAAGATGAAAGTGGTTGTTTACTTAGACTCTTGACACAGCTGCACAGCAAGAAGGTATATGAGATCAGGTCTGAATGAATTAACCAAGAAATTAACTTGATTACATTTTTTCCAATTATGCAAAGTAAATCCTATTGTTGGTATCGCCGCTTAAAAGAAAAACTCTCAATTTTTAATTTGAAACCTCTTAATTTAAAAATCCCTTTGATAAGCATAATGGAGAGGAAAATGAACAGTGTGCCAACTGTCTGCAATTTGTTGCCCCTTTCCTTGCCGCAAAGATCTGAACAGTCTCTTGAAATGTAATGTTCTCCTTGTTCATCTGCTACTCTCCTTTACACACAGCAAAAGCACAGATAGATATACGTAATGAGCAATTATTCCCAGGTCAAAGGTTAACCTCAGGAATTAAAATGTGTAAAAGGAAATTTGGCTCAACATTTTAGTGAGGTGAGTCAGATAGTTGGCAGCCGTATAAAAGGATGACAGAGTCAGACGATTGACTTCACGGAACCATTGAAAGTTAGTGTTGTAATGGACTTCATACTGTGTCAAATCAATTATTACTAATTTCACAAGGAAAATTGCTTTTATAGTTGATCCCAGAATGTAGCAATAAATGACTCTACTTTATTGCAGTCTGTTGATATACATAACATGTCTTCTCCTGGGAACCAGTGAAGGATAAAATTCACATTCATGCTCAGTGGGGTTTTCTCACTCTCAATCTACTGTAATGTATCTAAAAAAGTTATTGCCAATAACAAATTACATTTAATACAAAAATCTTATGAAATAAAAATAAACAAAATAAGGCAATTTCCTTTTTATGCTGTTTCTTAGTAGTACCTAACTGTGATCAAACTAAAGTCTTGTCACAAGTAGGTAGTCACTGAAATAATATGGCGGAATTAAACTATTTTGGTGTAAGGAATCCATTAAACTGCCAGTGGATTTAGAGATAATCTGTAGGGGTATTTTGGAGCATGTGTATCTAGGCGTGTGCAGCTCACCCCCACTCTGCTGGAGCGCAACGCCTATCGAAACACTCACCCGGGACTGGTTGAGGACCTGGGTGCGCCCGTGGTCCCCTACGTCATCCTCTTGCCTGGCCTGCTGGAACTCGCTCCTCAGTACTTGTATCCGGTCGTGGTTACTGGGAGCCATGTGACTGCTGGGTCAAAGAGAGGGGCAGAGGAGGTGAGTTAGTGAGACTAGTTGTTTTTAATCCAGATTGCACTCTTAGGCCAACCATGCCAGGACAATCAGACAGAGAATGTTTTAATTGCCCATGGCGCTGTTTTGTAATGGATTTCAATCAAGAAGGAAGTGTTGTGGGGACCGCCTTTGTTAACAAAAGCTCCAAGCGCCCACTTTTACCCAAATGTCTGTATTTGTTTGATAAGCCCTTTGGTGGTAATCAAGAGGTGTTTTTCATTGATTCCCCACTCAGAAGTAATACATACAACACTACTCGGTTTCTACTGATGCCGTTTCATATTTAGAGTTATTCACTTGACCACACCGACACCCCACTAAATTATGTTGGAGATCCGTTTTAATCAGACATTCCCTTTGCATACCTGACTGACCTCCCTATGTCCTTTTCTTCCCACCCTTCCTTCTTACAGCTTTCGGTCTTGATATTCCTATAACAGAAAGTGTCCCTTGTGCACCATTGTGAGTGATGCATGTCCCTTTTAGACTGCAGGAGAATGTTGGCTTTTCTATGATACGCGGTCATTAAACACTGTAGAAAACTCTCATTTGCATCCCCTTCATTAAAGGGCTTTGAGGGGCCTGTCAATAGGAATCAATAGCCTTCCTTCAGCATAATCAGGCTCTCCTTTTATCACCCGCTACAGAGGCAGCACATGACAAAATGCATAATTGTGGTGAGACATTCGGCTTGATAATGGCCCTGTATTCATGCATACCGCGGGATAAAAGTGACCAAAGGTTAGGATTTTGTGCTGGGAGGGAGCTCGAGCATGTAGGGAGTGAAAGGGTGAGGAATGGAAAAGGGAGATGAAGGCATGAGGAGTATTTTGCAGGGAGAAAAAATGAATATGTTTAATCAAGAGCATGTAAGGTAAGGGTAAGAGACAAAGTCAGCCAGGACCTGTTACCTTGCCACTCAGGGTGTCCTCCTGAGGAGCACTTACAGGTGGCACGCCAGCGGTGGACTTGATTGCTTATTTGTGCCCAGAGGATTCTGGGCACAATCATGGGGATAATTGCAGATTAGAATGAGCACATCCTTTTGATGATAATGGGAAATAGGAAATTCTGCCAATCAAGTTTCATTAAATGCACAATAAATAGCAGCTCATGAAGGCTCGACGGATCTTTTTGCATTGCCCCTGAGAAGCACTTGGCGAGGATCCGTTATAGTGTTATTCCTACTGCTTGATCAAAATCAATTGTATTAGTTATAGCCCATTTGATTTAGATAGCTTTATGCATGTGGAAGTGCAGGCAGCGTGCATTAGGGCTTTTATCTGGATGTGGGCAATTAAGTGGTTCATTGGGTGTGAGGTGGCCAATGCTTCTAGGGTGATGGTGAAGTCCTTCTATTACTGTTCATTACAAAATCAATGTTGAGGTTGCTTAACTAGCATATGCGATGTTAGAGAAATTAAATGAATTTAGCCTGTAAACAACACAGCAAGATTGACTTTTGGTACAAACCTATAGCAGCAATTAAAGGCTGATTATGGGTGGCAGTCACATAAATGTGGTCTCCTTCATCATAGTTTTTATTCTTTTTAAGTACAAAGTTACAGGCAAAGGTTATGAGAATCCATTAGTTATTGTATGACTAAGACTGCTAAATACATCCTTAATTTTAAAACACCAAAGGTTTTCAGATTGCATAAAGACATATTATACTAAAGTGTTTTTTACTTGCACTCCTAAAGTCACACAGCAATTAGGAAGAAAATAAACATTGCAATTCTAATACAGCACATGGCATATCCACTGCTTGTGAGAGAGTTTTGATGAGACTACAATGGGTGAGAAGATACATAGATCTGGGCAATTTAATGAATGTAATTAATTTAATTGCTGAGGCTGTTTTAAGAGAAGACTAAGCTAACTCCCAGCAAACAGCCTCGTACATTTTTTCACTTCGACCTTCCAGAGACGGCCAGTGCTAAAATCAGCATCTTAAATATACACCAATGAACTATAAGAACGAGTGGGACCGTTTGGAGCCAGCTGGGAATCCAGAAAAAGAGCAATATAAACAGGCTATAAAACTAGACTGTTGAGTGCATATACACTTCATACACAAAAGGATATATTGCCCTTCTCTCATGCACTAAAGCATCAATCCAAGCATGAGGGTTGGCCCTTTATATTACTACATTTCTGTGTGTGACAAATGAAGTGCTGGGTAGTGGAAAGAGAGAAGATTACTGAAGACAAGATCGCCAGCAAATTAAAGAACTCGCAGGCAATCCAATAAATTCTCTGCTACAAATGGAAATTGCATCATACGGACTGGGAGCGGCGATGGGATTTTGCGAGGAGTGAATTTGTCATGGAAGTTCAAAGGAGGCCTGTGTAATATCTAGATTATCTGCAGAGGCTTCTCCTTGTGGCCCTCCACCCACCACTCCTGGAATTCTTCAATGGAAAAATATTTTTACCAGGAGAAAGAAGAGCTTGAGAGCTTTGCTCCAAAGAAGAGCATGAATCAAGCACGAAGAGGCCCCACTATCACCGTAACAGCCGGTAGCAAGCCTGTTTCTATACATTAAGAAGATGGATTCAGCTGCCTTCTGTAAGAGCTCCCTAATACTTGGACATCGCGATGTGTAATTAGTCAGCATGATGGCTGGCGATGCATCAGGTGCCACCGTTTATAAATTCCAACGTGAACAACAAGAGCTGCACGGAAATATCGGGGGGGGTGGCAGTGGGGACTCATGGCAATGTACGTCAGCACTCCACATCAGCAATTAGGATGAACGTTTCATGCCAACCAGCAGTAGATGGGTGTGACGGAATATGAATGAGCACTGCTCATCAGTTTGCTGTAAGCCACATCTTTGTGCATGAGGAAAAAAGGTCACAGGTTGTAAGGTGAAAGTGTTCTCGAGGGTGCATGCAGGCTGCATCATGATCATATAAGCTTCCTGGGCCTAAGCCCAGGTCTAGTTCTGTTTCCCCCAGGAAGCCCTCTCTTGACAGGTGAGTCAATGGAAAAGGACATGCCGCCTCTAATTAACAAAACATGCGGATAAAGTATCCCTGTGCCACAGTCTTTCCAAAGCCATCTTCATTCCCACTTGTATGTATTGACACTCCTTTAAAATTCATCCGTGTGTTGGCAGGCTGATCTGTCAGCCCTTCTGTGTTGGTATCAGATGTCAAGGGACATGACAAAGCGTCCCTATTTGATGATAGTCGAATAACAACGGCCTGCATTCCAAGATGCATGCAAACGTACCGAGAAGACTCAAAGAAGCCAAGACTTACCCTCCTCTCCCTGTCTCTATTCTTCTTAATTTACAGACACCTTGTATTGTGTAAAGTCACTCTGTAAAGTTCTTGGCTGAGAGCTCATTCTAAGGGGTTATTGTTAGAGGTGAACTTGGGAATTCCCAGGCATGGAGGGTCAAACAACAAGGATTCAGGTCCATCTACGTAATAACAGACTCTCTACTGTCCTGCTGCTCATTCTGCTGCTCCAACTCATACTTTCCCTCATTACGAAACAATTAGAAAAATTTCCCAAAGTCATAAAATGCCAGGGAACAAAAGAAATTAAATAAGCTCCTTAAATAAGCTCTGATAAATATAGCTTTCTGAGTAAATAACAATTCACAACTCTTGTTTAACCAATGATGTCCATGTGCATACATATCCGTGACGCCCGTCCCACCTGTGTTTTTCAACCTGACCTGTTGACAGGGGTCATGAGCCGTCTAAAGCTGCAGATGGGGGTATGTGGACGCCTGTCCGTGTAATAGTCATCCTTTGATCCAAGAGGATTTGGCAGATGTCCCACACACCACAAGGCTTAGACCAAGGATGCAAACTATGGCTCTAGTGGGCACTAGAGCCATAGTTTTGCATCCTATATTGGCATACTATATGCTTCTGTTGGTGGATCAAAGCTGCTTCGACTCGCGGTATGTCCCAATAAACACTGCCACAGGCCAATAAAGGCAGCCTGATCTCCAAAACCTGTTCGGAAAAATGTATACGAAAATCTTGAAGATACAAATTCGTAGTGATACATACTAAATAAATACGGACTGGCAACTGATGACGTCACCCTATTCAAAGTGAATGGGGACCTGCACCCCGTAAACACACTTCGTGAAGTCTAACGATGTAAAATAAACGTCTTATGATTGACTTTTTAACGAGAAATCAATGTTAATTTTTATGAATACAATACTAACCCTAACCCCCTCAAAAAATCCAACATGGCGGAGAGACGTTCACTCAAGGGGCGTGGTTAACCACCGCCAGTTAGTATTTATTGTTACGAATTTCTATGTCAAATATTTTGTATACATTTTTACAAACAGGTTTTGGAGATCACGCTGATAATGGAGTAATCACACCATGGGTCATATGAGCATACCTGAGGACAGGGACCAATCCCAGCTATTCAGAAAGATATGGAAAGAGACGGACTGTTATAATCCTTCGGGTAAAATTTCAACGGAAGTCTGAAAGTTGTTGCAAATCATTTTCAAGTAAAGTCAGAAAGGCTGAACTGTGAATGTCGGTGTGAAATCAGACGGTCTGTTATTTTTTATCTGATCGCTGCTGATTGAAATTCTATCCGATTATCTGGTTTCTTGCTCTGGACCGGTATCTCCATGCAGCAGATGATGGGGCAGGCGTCTTTAGTTTGGGCCCCTTGGCAATTTTCTATCACGGCTTGGCTCATCTTTATTCCATCGCCCTGTGGACTTTCATTTATTTCAAAGACAGAAAGATGAGGCATTTTTTGGGTAGATGGACAGCCTTTGGGACCTACCGCGATGATAGAAAAAGATTAGATCTGCATCACCGCTGGTCATTTTTGAAGGGGAGACGGACAAAGATAAAATTGTTTTTTAGTCTTTCAGAGGAAATCCAAACATATCGGCCGATCTGCCATGATTCTTGCAATCAAACGAAAGCATTTGCCCTCTTTTCTCCTTT